GCCCCCCGAGCCAGCCCGGCAGGGGCTGCGCGATGGGCTCCCCGAGGCCCTTTTTGTTCTTTTGGGAGGGAGTTACAAATTTTTCTTTTTAATCTTTACAAGAAGGTTCCAGTTAAGGGGGGGAAGGAGGGAAAAAAAAAAAGAAAAACAAAAAAAAAAAAAAGAGTTTGGGGAGGGAAGAAGGGTGAGCGGGGCCTGGGCAGAGCAGCAAGAGCAGAATAAATGCACGAAAGGAGGAAAGTGCTGGATCTTTGGGTAACGACACCACAGCACTGTATTACCGAGACGTCCACCCTCACAGCAGCACCTTGCCCATAGCCTCTCCGAAACCAGCCAGCGCCGCAACCTCCTTCCCGAAAGATCCAGCAGCACCTACGCGGGGAAGAGCAGGTCCCCACCTCTTCCCTTGGCACCGTAACTCGCATCGGTGCGGAGGCTCTGCGGCCCGTGCCCCCTGCAAAGCCCGTGGGGAGGTCACCCCCCGCCTCCGCGGGGCTCCGGAGCATCCTCAGGGGACAAGGGGTTGGAGAGGAGCTTGTGGGATTTGTGGAAGGAGAGTCAGGTGCCGCTCACCCTCCGAGCCCAGGACAGCAGCATGGCTTGCCTGGGTAATTGCAGGCAACCTATTTCAGTTTAGTCTTTGCTTTGTAGGAATTTTGAGGGAAGCTTTCCCCAGACCATGCCTGCTTTCTTTTAAAGGCAACTCCATAAATCTTATGTAGCAGAGGGAGTGGAAGCAGGACCAGTGTTAACGTAGGATGAGGGGACCAGAAATCACTTATTTTTTAAAAAATAAAAAGAAAAATCAAAGCCACCTGGTCAGGATGAGAAGCACCCACCGGGATCGGGTGGAGGATCCCCTGCCATCGCCCTGCACCGCAGCTCCCGATCAGCAGCTTGAATGAAGGGAGAGAGGGAGGAAGGCACATGGCAGGAGCACAGGACCCCAGGCACCGGGGATGAGCCAGATCGACAGTGTTTTCCACTAAACTCCCCTCCTCATTTCTGACAGTGGCCTTTCCCCCCCTGCCATCAATCAGCCTGAGCGAGACCCTTCCACGAGCAAGCGCCTGCACCCTGGGACTCCCCTCCGCTGTCTTATTCACATATCGATTTCAGTTAACCCGTTAACACGCTGTAACAAAGCGTCTCGGATAGGAGTGCTCCTTCACATGCCTTACACAGCTTCGAACTTCCCATGAAGTTTAATAAACTGATACTATTCCCCCCGGCTTACGCGCCCCTAACGCGATGGTCTTCGATCTGCCAGACCAGTAGGAGTAGGATGCCTGGGCAGCTCTCCCAGCTGAGACAGCATGGATCCTTGTAGAAGGTAGAGTTTTATAACAGACCGTACTTAGCGGCCAACGCCATGTGTATTCTCCCTCTTCCTGCACTTTTGAAACCAAAGGTACCTTTCACTGAGAGAGATCCGATTTCTTCTGACCGTTTCACAGACGGAGAATGACGTGAGGATGGATTTTTCTTTCATTTCTTTTTCTAAGGAGGATGTTTTTGTTCAGCGTAATGGATTAAATGCAATAGGATTAATGCAATTATTCTTTTAGCTTTCGAGCCGGTTTGCTATGAAGACATATCGCTAACGAGAATACTTCTACTAATAGGGATTGTTGAGATGGACTTTGCCACATTCTTTAAGCTGCTAATGGCACAACTGTCCTGCGCGTCGGGGAAAAGCCCGGACCCGGTCAGCACCCGTTCAGCACCTACTGCTGGATCCCACAAAGAAAACAAGAGAGAGCTGGATGCAAACCAAACAGCAAAGGAGTTACGTGCACCGTGTAAGCCAAGGAGAGTTTAGGCTGGTGTTAACAGGCAGAGCCCCCTCCTAGAGCTGGGGGAGCTCCCGGACCCCCGGGCAGTGCAGGGATGTCCCCTCTCCGCTGCACAGGAACCCATCTGCCAGGGTCCTCCGTCCGTGTCACCTTACAGAGTAGGAGCCATACGCCTTGCTCCGTTACCGTCGGTGTGAACGCATTTCACGCAACAAGCCTATTTCTACTGCTGCCACTCGCCGCTGATCTGGTTTAAGGAGAGCATCTCCCAGCCCCTTCCCAGGACACGCAGCAATTGTATTCGGTTTTTAAGCCAACACACCAGGCCAAATGCAACACAGCTCTTGGTCACGGAGACGATCGCTTCCCAAGCCTGTGGCTGTCCTTACAATGTTGAGTTTGTGCAACTTCTTGCCTAAGCCCCGGTGGAAACGATGAGAGAAAGAAACTACAGCCTCCGCTCTGGAAAAGCCTCTGCAGCTGGAGCTGGGCATCTTCCTTCACACCCAGCACACCAGATCCTCGCTGCTTTGTGGACCAATGGGGACCACAAGACCCTTGGCTACCACGCAACACCTCCAAACCTCAAGAAAGTTGGTCAGGCATTACTGGAAGCAGGGCGGTCTGTGTCATGTATCTGCATTACGTGCCATTTATATTAAAGCCTGTATTTCTGTCCTGTCATTAACCACCATTTTACTGAGGAAACCTCTTAGCATCCATTTGGACACGGAGAAGCGTTTCACCCCGTAGCTTTGCAGTGTGTGCTCTGCGGCGTGCCTCGGCAAGCGGGGAGGGAAGGAGCCGGACTCAGCCCAGCCAGTCCTGTCCTTGCCCCAAAAAGTCTCGCAAAAACATTTACAGTCCTACCACCACATTAGTTCACGTAACCAGAAAAGGAAGATGTCTGCAGAGGGCCCGGGGGACGAATGGCTCGGTGTAAGTTACTTGTAGCCTTGTATTAGCTTGGTGTAAAAATTACTCAAAAATTATAAGGTATAGTAAAAATTTCAACATTTATTTGAAACTTCGCCTGGAGTTCTGGGGCCCAAAGAAAATTCTCACAAAGTTCAAAACTCATCCTGAGCTTAGAATTTTTTACCCTCTTTAATAACGATTCAGTAGACGTTTGCACGTGCCGTTACTCTGTCGCGGGGAGCAAAGCCCTTGCTTGCTCCAAAACCACCGCAGCTCTGACGGGGTGTCCCCCGCACCCCCCCAAACAGCCAGGGCCAGGCTGCACCCACATGGGCATCGTGGCCACACTTCTGCCAAGCAAGTGTCCTTTGAGCTCTAGGAGGCGGATGGAGACCCCGCACAAGGGCCGGTGGTGCTGAGGGGTCTTGCCCACCCACCTCTGCCTGTTTGGGTGTGCGCTGTGCAGGCGGTTGTGTCTGCCTGTCCCTGTCTGCCTGTCCCCAGCATCACCCCGTGGGAGCCCCTTTGCTTCTCCATCCCCAGCTGTCCCTCTCCGGAGGGGACGGGTCAGGCACCTCGTCTCCTGCTACCTATAGCGTAACCCCCTGGATTAGCAGAGATGCTGGGGAGGGCCCTATAGCAGCCACCCTCTGCTCGAAGGGCAGGACCCCTCCTAAGGGGTCGGTCTCCATTACAGGGAAGACCGTTCCTCTCTGGAGCAGGGCACACTTTCACCTTTTCTTTTCCAGAAGATACATCTTCAGAAAGGGTTTAAATTAGGGGCCAACCCTTTAAATAAATACATAAATAAAAAGAGAAAGAAGAGCCAGACCCAAAACCAAGTGATCTCAGAAGCTGGGGAAAAAGCAGTTGGGGTCCAACTCCCAACTTGCAAATTGGAGCCTGTTTATAAAATGGCCTGAGCCAAAACCTCATCCATGTTCTGGAGACAGACCCAGGCTCTGCCGGCTGCATCCCAGCGCAGGGGTGCAGCCTGTCCCTCCCTGAGACGCAGCCTTTTGCTGTTTGGAGCCCTGCACGTGTACAGCAGCTGACAGGAACCACAGGAGCGCGAGCGTGGGACACGAGAGCACACTCGATGCGTTTGCCTGATCTTGAGGCTGCTCCTGTTCTCCCTGAAGTGATGTTGCAGCAAGAGACAGAAAAGCAGTGGGAAAAGTCGAGTTTTGGTACGAGCCCTGAAATCCTGCTCACAGAAACCCCCACCGTCTGTCCCGCGCGGACACCAGGTCACGATGTCCCCACACACAGCCCCGGCCAGCATCGCCTTCCACAGACGACAGACCCCGAGCCCACACTACGGCCATTTTTGACCCGAGCGCACG